TTTTCTTTTTCTTTTGGTTTTGCCTATGCTAGGATATAGAGCAATACTCATAACTCCATGTTTGGAATTTTGACTGGTCTTGAAAGGACCGTTTAAATATTTTTGAGACTAATAATAAGGTTATCAATCTGGTGTTTCCATCACATATAATGGCGTATGTTTAGGGACCCATCCCCTCCCTGTTATTAAAGTGATGCCTGCCATTGCCTGAAAGCACTAAGGATTGTGTGGGCAAATGACTGTTTGTGATTACAAGTAAGCTGCTCACCCTTGCAACCCTTGCAGTGCCCCTCTCTCTCTCTGTCTCAGGCCCTTGCCATTTCCCTCGGCAGCCAGGACTTTGCCCCAGGGATGCTTCAGCAGATCCAGGAGAAGGAGGACTTGTTGGCCGAGGCCTTAGCCGAGCAAGATCAGATCATAACCCGGTGGCAAAGGCGCCTGCAGGAGATGAAGGACGGCGCCTCAGCCAGGGAGCAAGAACTGAGGGTAACAATGGGACTGGCTTGGGTGGGAGTCACCGGGTGGCCCAACAGGGATTTCCTCCCCCTCCCTTGGCAGTGATACAGACCCTTCTGTGGCCTTTTGGCCTTTCGTTTGGGTGTAAGTGGAAATGGCAGGGCTAGCCCAAGACGTTTATCTTGTCTCTAATGATGAACAAAATGGCGTGTGGTCCCCATTCCTTGGTCAAAAAAACACATCCGAGCCAGCAAAACTAGCTTTCTTTCCTGTTAGCCACAAAGCAGGTGGGGATGAAAGGCAGACATTGTGGCACGCACATGGGTCTCTCCCGCTCCTTGCCATCCCTGTTCAGCCCCTGCTACCACCAGATCTTGAGAAAAGTTATACATTTTTGAGTAATCTTCCCAGAATTCCCGGGGCGATGCTGTGTAGGACCGCCATTCTCAACCTTTTCTTGGCCGCGGCCATAAACACAATATGAAAGAAATATAGGCCAGATCAGGGGAGAAAGATATCATTGGCAAGCGCTGTCTAGAGCAGTGGTGGTGAACCTTTTTGGGCCCGAGTGCCCAAACTGAAAAAACAAAAACAAAAACCCAGCGGGTGGTGGGCGGTGACACCGGAAATGGCGGTGGCGGAACCGGAAGTGGTGGTGGAAGGGAGAATCCTGGGCATGAAGGTGCCTCGAGACCCCACTCTGGATCCACCGCCAGCGGCAGCTGCTCTGGGTTCTGGCCCGCTGCCTGTCGGGGCGCCAGCACCACGGCTGCAACCGCCTCCTCAGGCTTGGCTGGGTGGGAGAGTAGCGATCCAGTGACTTACGGCTCGCGTGTCTACAGAAAGGGCTCTGCGTGCCAGCTGTGGCAAGCATGCCATAGGTTCGTCATAGCTGGTCTAAAGAGTGTAAACACACAGAATGTCATCACCAAGTTGTTGGGTCCCTGTCACCTATTTTATTCAGTTGCATTGATTTTTTAAAAATATATATGTTGTTTTTATCAATCAGTACAACTTCTGTATAGGCGTCTTGCTTCGGTTTTAGTCAGAAATGAGAGGTTGGCTATTTTGACCTGCAGCTCCCAGAAAACCATGACTGCTGCTAATCCCGAAAGATTTTTGTTTTCTATCCATTCATGTTCAAACACCGTCTGTTAACAACCTTAATCTGCATCTCCGATTTCTACGTGGAAAAAGTTGAAGTGGTTCACAAGGTAGGAGAATGTGGTTTTTTTTAAAAAAAATAACAACCCAGACAAGTCGGCTTCTGCGCTCTCTGTTTGCAGGAGCAGCTGCAGCAGCGTTCTCAAGATGCCCGAGCACAGGCCCAAGAAATGGAGCAGCTACGGAGGCGCCTGGCGCAGGCAGAGGCCGAAGTAGCCCAGGGGGCCGTGACGTTGGAGGAACATCGGAGACAACTAGACGTGTTGAAGGAGGTGGGAGACATGAAAGACCGTACCCTGGAGGTGAGCCCAAAATAGAT